AGGTCTATAGATAACCTTTGTACGTTCTCTTGCAGAAATGTACAACCCCAAGAATTCAGAGCCTTTCACAATGGTTAATTAGAAAAGCAGCAGAGAAAATAAATACCAAAATATTTAGACTTCACAACTGCAGGACAGTGGTTCTTAAACAGGAGTGTGCATTGGAATCACCTGTAGAACTAGTACGAGATGTTGCTGTTTTAAAATTCAGATTGGGGCTCAGTGTTTATGAATCTAACCTGAGAAAGGCCTAGTTTTTAAAATGCACACCTTTAAAAAAACTCCACATATAATTCTGACTCAAATTCTACTAAAATACTGCTATAACTTGGATATCTGTTCCCTCCAAATTCCATGTTGAAATTTAATCGCCAGTGTTGTGATGTTTGGGTTATTAGAGTGGATCCCTCATAAACAGATTAATGTCCTCCTCCCTGGGGAGTGAGTGAGTTCTCACTCTATTAGTTCCCACCAGAGATGGATTTGAAAAAAAAAAAAAAAACCTGCTACCTCCCCTCTGTCTTCTTTTCTCACCATGGGATCTCTGCTCATGCAGCTCCCCTTTGCCCCTTCACCATGAGGCCCTTACCAGATCCGGATGCCCAATCCTCAACTTTCCATCCATCCAGAATAGTAAGCCAAATAAACCTTTTAACCTTTTTCTTTATAAATTACCAGCTTTAAGTATTCCTTTACAACAATATAAAATGGACAAACACAAAGATTAAGTCCATTTTATTCCCGATCAAAATATGAGCTTCTGGTTTTGCTAAAACTTAAATTTATCGTGCCTGGACGTGAGAATCCACAAGCTTTAATGTTCTATTCACCTCAGTCTTTTCATACTTTATATGAATGACAGCACTTGGAATCCAAAAGTAGCCACTGTCTCCAGCATAGAAATTCAAAGTCATTCTAATACCTCGTGTATAAACTCAACATGTGCACAGTAGCAGCCTACCTTCAAGTCTTGGTGCTACAGGCAGGATCTCTCTCCAAAACTAAATGATTTTAAAATATGCAACCTTCTGTTCACCAATAAGAGGAATTTAACATTTTATATTTGAAATTTTAAGGTCAGTTTATTAAGTTCAATGATGAAAGCCATCAGAAGAATATTCTCCTGAAAATCATTTTTTCTTAGAAAAAAAGAAAGGAAAATCAAAACCCTCCGACCATAGCCACAGATGCTGTGGCAATCAAGCCTCTCTGCAGATGGGGACAGTCCATTAGTCAGCTGAGTCACTCCCTGGGTCAGCAAGATTGTAGTCTGGATCATCCTCATCATCCTCTAGCTCCAAGTCATCCATTTCCTGGAACAAAGACTCATCTACCTCCACATTGTTCCCAGCTGCAAAAGGCAAAAAAATTCACCTTCAGTCTTATACTCAGGAATAAAAGATAAAACTCACTAGTGGTACCCAACAGGCAGTTCTAAATCTGCATGAGATATGAGTGATAAAATCCCAAACTACTACTGCAAATCTTACTAACAATGATCTGTTTTAGTCAGTAGAGACTGACAACTTCATGTTTTCAGTTCATAGTCTAAAAATCCAGTTATTAAAAAGAAAAGCCTTACTAGAATTAATTACTTTTAATGTGGCATGTTTTAAGTCGAAAACAATATGTTGCCCTGGTTATACAAAATTGATTGTCACTGACCATGGGACCTGTACCAGGAGTTATCTCTTCCAATAGTGGCATATAAGCACATAATTAAAGCTCAACTATACTTGTCATTCAATTGATAGATTTAACTTGATCTTCACTCTTACCCAGTTCCCTCTTTAAACAATGCTTTCCAACAAAAAGCAGACACAACAAAGTCATTAAAAGGTTAACTTTAAAATTAACAAATAGTTTTCCTTTTTTGAAATTATTAAGTACATAGT